AAACCTGCAGATTACCAGCAGAGAAAAGGCAAACAGCTCTGAGTTTCACATGAGAAAATGGCTTTAGCTGGCTATTTGCTGTATGAAGGGGGAAGCAACAGCCCAGAGCTTCTCACTCAAGCTTCTGAAATTCCTGGTATTAAATGTTGATTAAAGCTTTAGTCCCATAAACAAGAATATGTAATAGCTGCCACACTGAACTCTCTTTACTCTGCCAGGGAAGGGCTGTGGCTCAACAGGTAGAAGCATCTGCTTGGTATGCAGAAGGTCTCCAGTTCAATACCAGTATCTCCAGTTAAAGGAATAAAATAGTGATCTGAAAGATTCTCTACCTAAGACCCTGGAGAGCTGCTACCAACTCTGAGTTGACAATACTTAACTTGATGGACCAAAAGGTCTGATTCAGTATAAAGCAGCTTCATGTGTTCATATTTTTGGGTAGAGGGGTCAAGGCTTAGTGTCAGAGCATCTATTTGACATGCAGAAGGTCCCGGGGGTTCAATTCTTGGTGTCTCCTGGGGACAGGATTGACATGAAAGACATCTACCTGAGACTCTGGAGAACTGCTGCCAGTTGGAATAAACAGTGGTGACCCTGATGGACTGATTCAATAAAAGGCAGTTTCACATGTACATATGGTGTCACACTAGTTCCAACCCAGTTTTATCGTAAAAGGAAATGTGGTTTCATGGGGTTATGTTTGTTCAGGAAAGACACTTGTGCAACATTTGAAGCTCACAACTCAAGTCCAGCAGAGTGATTAAGAAAAGCTAAATTTATATTAAATTATCAATTTCTAAAATACTGAACATAGTGGTTAAATAACTCCAGAAAAATCCAATCTCTCCAGTCAGTAATGTTAAAACCATTACAGAGGAATGCAGGGGAATTACAGCCATTAGCTTAGGACAGACAGGAGAGAAAAACTTGTTTTTTACACAGTAAATCAGTGCTCAAGAGATTGTCCCCACTTCTGATCTTTCAACATTCTGTAAACTCCAAGTGCAATGAGAGGTTTTGCTTTTTCAGCAAACAAGTTAAGAATCCTATACTCAGAGGCCAAAGCCTGCTTGTACATATCAGAATAGGGAATCTTATCCTTGCTTACTTCACAAGTGGGACTCTGTTATAGTGCCACTGATCCAATTCCCTGCAGCCACTATGAAGATACTGCTGGGAGTGGAATGGAGGAGTTGAAAGGTTTTGAGAAAGGAGGTCAATATAGTCTCAGGACTGGAATGTGCAACAGAGCAGGCAGACTTTCTTAGGCAGTCTTTCTAAGTAGCTAGGAGAAACACAACCCTCTGTTTAAACACCTTTTTGTTGTTCCACCTGGCTTCTGAAGGGACAGGTAGCTTTCTGTCTCTCAGTCTCCATCTTAAAAACTCAACATGACTTTTCTGTACATGACTGCCTGTACCTTCCCCTAGCCATAGCCCTCACTGATGTTAAGTCTGGCTTTGTCCATTCTCCAAATGCACAGGCACTTGCTTTGGCCCAGGTACAGCTGTACTCCTTGCTGAGACTTATCTAACACCTCTCTCAATCTGAGAAAGCTTGAGTGGACAAGACCACAAAAGCTTGGTGCCAACTAAAATAAATAAATTAAAATCTAATATTTTCCTCTCTAGAAGTATAGAAAAATTTGTCTTAACAAAGATAGCTCTAAATCTTAATCCCAATCAGTTTTTCACAGGCATACACATTAGCTAGGGTTTGACAATAAAATCTATCATCCCCATATAGTTAAAGGCACCAGCATGTAGCAAGCAAGATTTCCCCACACTACTTCCTTTTCAAAATGGACAATTGTAGATTTTGCCTGAAGAATGAAAAATCTTTCATTTTCATATTACCACTCCGTGAACACTCTCCTCCACTGCTGTATTTTTATGGGAATGTGCAAAATTCATGGGTAAAGCGAAGCAGGATTGGAATCATGTGGTATTATCTCAAGCAGAAGAAATGAAGAAGTACAGGGTACTCCCCAGGAGAAAAGCTAAATTGGAAATACACATGAAGGAAGATGATAAAGAGCAGAACAAAATGTTAATAACATGGAAATCCCAAATTTGTATTTCCCTCATAATATCTATGCAGAGTTGGAGGGGAGGGCATTTGTGGGCTAAAGGGAGTTCTTAACTGATCCCCTGCTGGCCAGATGTGCCGCTCAGCATGGCTCCAAAACGGTAAGCAAGTCTGGCAGGAAGGGGAAAAGGTCACTGGGTGATGATGAACTCCTCACTTTCTGTCTAGCCTATGTCACAGGGTTGTTGTGAAGATAAAATGGGGAAGGAAGAACCATCTGTGCTGCTGAGATCTCTAGGAAAAGGGTAAGAAGAATTTAATAAAGGTGGAAATAAGGTTTTGTGCTTTGTATTTTCTGACACTATGTCCTGTACATCAGCCAGAGCCCGGCACAAGCCAGGATGGGGTGATTAATAAATCTAATAAATAATAATAAATAGAATTCTAAGAGAGTATGCAGATATCCTGCGTGTGGCGAATCTGTGTGAACTTATACAAGGCCCCAAGGCAATTAACAAAATTGCTTACTTTGGGAAGGGAGCTCTACCACCCAGGCCCACCTAAGAGAAACACACAGGAGTTGCTCCAAATCCAAACTGTTTAGAGAGCTAGTTTTGGTCTTGCCCTGAGGAGCTAGTGCCTGAGTGTTGGACTTGAACTGGGGAGATCTGCACTTGGACCTGGATTCAGATTTCCATTTAGGCATAAAACTTATATGAATATCATCTATCAGCTGATGACAGCCCTGTAACATAGGCTAACACCAATGTAAGCCATCTTAAGTTCCTGAGAGGAGTGGGTTATATATAGCCACTTGCTATATCGATTCATGTATTTTCATCACTCGATGAGGCGCCACTGAGTTTGGATTTAAAGCTGCTGCCTTGTCACTGCTTGTATCTCCATAATGACATTAATTCATTGTCAGAAGCGACTTGATGGAGTTTAATACACACACACACAATGACAGGATAGGAAAGGACAGACAGACAGTAATGACTGAGGGCTCTTTCGTCACGCCCTCTTCCACTATGCTGACATTGCAAGAGAAGAAACAGTAGATTAAATGGCTTTGAGACTGGGTGGAAGTTAGATAGATCGTTATAAAAGTAGGAATGAATGCCAGTGTGGTTCAGTACATGGATCTGTGTCATGGGAATTAACTGAGAGTAATGACACTTAGTTGATAAGGTAGCTACAAAAAAGCAGATATAACAAATGCTAAAAGCATAATGAAATAAATGACTAATAGTGATAGAGAAAACACACCCCTGAATTTGGACAGTCAGAAAACTTATTTGCCTTTGATGGTAAAACAGAGATGTATACAAAAATGGCCTGTCAAAAATAGTGGGAACTTTTAAGCAAAGGTCAGCTTTGCTAATTGACTCTGCAGTAGAATCCCTTTGAATGTATTTCCTTGAAATACAGAACACAAACAGGGAAGATTTTTAATGTGTGTCTTCCCTAAGATAAGAAAGTATGTTAGATTATCCCTGCCAGCTAAGAGTTGTGAATGGTAGTGTTAATTAAAACTGTCAGGTTGGCCATACTTGCCTCAAGACTGGCTGCCTTGAAGTTGGCCTACATAACAGTTTCTCTCAGGACAATCTTCCTGTTCTCCAGGTGAGTGATGCTTTGGGTTGAGAGGGAAGAGGCATGGCTAGTCTGATGTAGCCTGTGGTTCACTGAGAAGGAACTTGTGTGAAGAGAGAATGATGTAAGCCACTTTGGGTTCCCTCTGGGGAGAAAAGTGGAGTATAAATGAAGTAAAATATATTTTAAATTAATATAAAAATGTTATGTGCAGGTATTATGTTTTGAAGTGTATATGTACAATGTTTTACGCTGCAGAATGCATGAGGGTGAATGTAGCTTTGATAATGAAATAATTACGCAGAGCAGCAGCCATGCCTATGGGGAAGAGGGAGAAGCATACACCCCCCCCCCAAAGAACTTTTGAGAGATGAAAAAAATGTTGTAATCAAATGAGCAGCTTTGACGAGGAAATGGGAATCCCCTTGCTGGTGTTCTTATTGTTTTCTGTTGAAATGGCATCCCTCTTCCTTCCCCACTTAAGCAAGGAACAATTGATCACAGAATGGTACAGACTCAGAAAGCTTATGTCATTAATCCACAATGATGTCCTCAAACTATCACAGCCCATGCAGCATTCACTGGATCACAGGAGAGGCACTTGCAAGTTGGGGCATGGAGAAGTGTTGCTTCGTTCCTGAAGACTAAATCCTGTACAGCCAACAGTGCTGGGAGAATGTGACTTCCTTGCAATGGGAGTGCTATCTTGCCCAGTGCAGTTTGGTTGCACGTACCGTCACCTGACAAAGACATTCTCACTGCTCAACCCACATGGCAAGTACCATTTCACCTCAAGCAGCAGCCATGTAGGGGCTGAAGGATGTATTTGGCATTTGAGTACACCTAATTTCCAATTGTATTCCATTTGCAAAGTAATCTATTGGACTTCCACAGGCCAACTTTTGTTTTCAGAACCACACATTTCCACAGGATAGTCCTGTGTGAATTTACTAACAAAGAGTTGCATCCAGTTGCATCCAGCACTTTCCTTGCTTAAGGGAAGCACAGTAAAACGAGCCCCCCCCCCCAATATATATGCAAGCTCCATCTACCAGAACAAAAAGTGTGTTTTAGAAAGGGAATAGGGGGGTTGGCACAATGAACTGGACACAGCAGGAGCAATGTCTATTGCCAGCAACAGACTGAGTGCTTTATCCCTTGAACTCCTCATACCCTGGTTTGGATTTGGCAGTGGCTTTCCAGCTTGAAAAGATGGCAGTGATGTTTAGTGGACCTGCAAAAATCAATTACAGATGTAGGTGCTCTCCCTACACAACTATCTGCAGAAAAAACAGGCTGTTAACATCACATCACCTCCTTATTTCTCATTCACCACCTGGTCCCAACACCTTTGCCTAAAGGTAAAAAGAGTGCAGTGCAAACCCAATTAGTTCCAATGGTCTCTGAATAGAGGTCTTGGGTATCAGGAATTGATATAGTTCAGAAATGCCACTCCAATATGGCTGATGGTGGCACAGAGTCCTTGACCAGCTTGTGCACTGGACCAAATGAAAGCTTCATCAGACTCAGCTGGAAAAGCTGCTACTGAATTTAACATCACAGCTTCTAGGGAAAGGAAACATATAAATAAACATTGAAAGTGATCCAAAAGGGTCTCTGGATTGCATCCAACCAGCCACATAGGCACAGTCTAGCTCAGGCTCCTTGGCAAAAGGCAGTCTCTGGGCTCCAAGTCCCTCCTCAAATAGCAGGCAACAACCAATTTCATCACTCCTAAGGATGACTGAGGAGGCCGGACAAATGTCTCTGCATGTGCTTTAGACCTCACTCTCAGTTGAAGGTTTGCGTTGATGCTTCCAGCCTGTATCTGGGAGGGAGCCACGCCGCTCTGGAGTAGCTGCTGCACTGATGCTGCTGCATTCTGACTGCTCCTCCTGCAACAACTGCTCAGTTTCAGTGTCATCCAGTGAGCCAGAACTGGCTTGGATTGAGACAGTGTCAGTCTTCATGCAGACATGGTCTCGGAGAATGCATCCCCGAGAACTCCGTATCTGTTTGAGGTCATCCCATTCAGACTCATCACTGGACAAGAGACATATCCCTTCTACAATCTTGATCTTTTCCTTGGTGTAGTCGTGATCAGGGCCAGCCTGTAGATGGAGACAACAGCATGAGATGTGCTTAGTCAAACAGCAAAGCAGAGAATGAGAACCAATGGAAGCCTGACTCATGGCAAGGCATTAAAAGGAGCGCAGCCTCCTGCTACAAGCCAGGACCACTCAGCTCCATTAGAAACTTTTAAAAGTTTAATTAATGTGTCAAATAGTAAATAATGCTCCCTCTAAGCTGTGGAGTCTTGTGAGCAAAAATTCTACTTTGTGAGCTATTGGCATTAAGGTTGTGAGTGAGCAAATTGGCTACTGCATAGTTTGCTCTGGAGCCATCCTTCCTGAGCTAAGACAAAAATGTGTGAGCCAGAGGCTAAAAAACTGTGAGCAAGCTCACACTAACTCAGCTTAAAGGGAACACATCCAAATGATGCATTTTATGTGATAAAAATTATTACATGTAATTTGTAGTCTGCTTCCAGCTTGAAAACTCTTTCATGAGACTCCTTTTAAGCTGCTCAAGGTTTTATGATTTTTTATGCTCATGCTGGCTTATTCTTTAATGAATCTATTCTTTGAATGGCTTACACTTGTAGGCCAAATAACTTAATATCAACTAAATATCAACCCTCCTATTTTTATGTTTAATAACAATTGACAAAAGCTTTACTACTGCCAGGGTAGTTTTAAATTCTGTTCTGGCCAATAGTTTAGCAATCCTTTGTGAAGAAGGTAACACTGCCATATCTTGTAAAAAAGTGGAGATCCAGTGCTGCCTGAATGAAATAAATAGGGCACATTCAAATGAACCATGTTCTAGAGTGCCAGTCCTTTCTGCTGTGTGCAATTACAAAGCCTCCCTAACTGGAGTTGCCAGGTCTGGGTTGGAAAATAACTGGAGGCTTTGAGGGTGGATCCAGGAGAGGGTGGGGTTTGGGAAGGGGAGGGGCCTCAGCATGGTACAAGGCCATAGAGTCCACTCTTCAAGGCAGCCATTTTCTCTGGGGGAGCTGATCCTTGTCAGCTGGAGATCAGCTGTAAAAGTGGGAGATCCCCAGGGCCCACCTGAAGGCTGGCAACCCTATCCCTAACAGCCTATCATTTCTTCCAAAGGGACAGCATTCAGTCGAGCCAACATAAATTGTCTCCTATACTTGGGTACTGTCAAAAACTCAAAATATAATGGCAAGGAATTTGACAGGGAAAGACCCAGGTACATACTCTACGGGAACATACTCTGGAGAACATACTCTGTGGCAGGAGTGTCAAACATACGGCCTGCAGGCCGGATCAGGCCCTCAGAGGGCCCCAATCCAGCCCGCAAGGCCCTGGCTGTTTCCCACTTCCATTTGAAGTTCTGCTGCTGCTGCCATGTTACAGCTTGCTTTACCAGTCTCTCTCAATCACACAGGAGAGATTGATAGGCAAGGCTCTCCTATGCGATTGAGAGTTTGGTAAAGAACTGGCTGAGGCTCCTCCCCCTCCTCCTCTCAGGGGGAAGGAGGGAACAGTCAGAGCTTGCTTCCTGGCCAGGCTGCAGGAGACAAAGGGAAGCCTTTCTTTCCTTCCACTGGCTGAGGCTCCTCCCTGAAAGGAGGGAGGGAATGAGGGAGAGTGTTCTTTGCTGGGCTGCCTCAATCACACTGGAGAAATACCAAGCGCCTTTAATACCAACAAAGTTTTGTTCAAGGTATGAGCTTTTTTGTGCCTTGCTACTGTGTGTGTGTGTGTGTATGTGTTTTGTTGGGCCTGTCGTGCCAGGGCTCTCCTGGGTGCAACTGGGTTCCCTCCCCCTTTTCACTGTATTCATGCCCTCATGATCCAGTCTTTTTTCAGTAAGAAAGCAATGTGAACTATTTTAGAGGCGGAATAACAATAAGCTATTGAGGTGGATTAGACTGAGAGTATGTGTCCAGACCAAGTTCACCCCCTTTGTAGGAAGTTGGTAGTTATTTCTCTGAGGAAAAGTATAGCTTTTTTCACAAACACATGGCCCTCAGTCTGTGTCAGGATGCCTTCTCATGTTCTTGATGAGCACATGAAGCAACTTATGTACAAAAGGTTGCAATGCCCAGCCATTTCATGGTTTTCCCTTGGTCCTATGCTAGGAACACCTAGCATATGATTTCTGTAATAAATGTCAATAAATCAAAAGTACGTTTGCAGCTTACAGATACACACCTGAACAGCATACTCAAGATTGCTACAGCACAGACATTTTGATGCAATAATTCTGAGCAGAAGTGTCAGTTATCAGAGACTGTTAAATAGACAAAATATGGCAAAATTGCTAGTGTTTTAAGCATGTTTTATTTAAAGTTTAAAAAATCTTTGTGTTTGTCTGTGTCCTTTTATAAAGTTTATATCTCTGCTACCTGGCATGAGGGTCAGATCTGGCCCTCATAACAAATGAGTTCAGCACCCCTGCTCTACGGGATCTCCTACTAATACTTAAGAAATCTAATTCATACAGGCTTTTTATTATAATGGTTCATGAAACGGTCATCCCTAAGCTATCAACATCAGCTATGGATATCCCCAATAGATGCAGTCATGTCTATCATATCTATCATTTTTAAAATAATACAGATAACCACTCTGCACTGTTGCAAAGTATACTTTTAGCCAAAGCCAAAACATTGCAGCACACACTTGGGCCCCCAAGGAACGTTGTGCCAATTCTGCATGCAGAATAACACGTATGACTGCCTTTGGTGCTCCTGTTATCCTATGCAAAAACTGCAATAAAAGTTTATCTATTTTTTCCCAAGCGGCCTCCGCCCAAAAAGGGGCTCCATAAAGAAACTGTGACCCAATTTTGCTATTAAATATTGTTATAGCTCCAGAGACAAATTGTCCACCTTTCATGTAAAAAAAATATATTGGACAATCACCTTCATTGCTATTGCAGCTTGGAGTACACATCTGTAAGATGATGTGACCACTTCATAGTCACATGAAAAACTACCCCATAATACCTAAATTTACTAACTTGCTTGATAGGTTTCCCATCTATATACCAGTTCAAAACATTACAAGACCTATATTTGGAGAATTCCATCACCTTAGATTTAGTATGATTAATTACCAGTCATTCTTTGCAACAGAGAAGACCTTCATGAGGTGACAAAATCCTACAAGAGTTCTTGCTAACAAAATGGTGTCATTGGCATAGAGCAGGGCAGAAACCAGAATGGACACCAGCATGGGATAATGAAAAATTTGTTTGTTCAGCCTTTGCGCCATCTCTTGAAGATACAAATTGAATAGAAAGGGAGCCAAAAGACATCCCTGCCTAACCCCTTTTTGCAAAGGGAACAGATTAGTTGAACGACCTTTAGTACTACACCGTACTTGCCCAAAAGAGGGCTCTTATGGAGTTCGTATCAACCATAATAGTCTACCATTTACTGAAAGACTTTCCTACTGGCTTTTTAATAGTTTAACTGTTAAAATTTATGGTATTTTCTGTTTTTATTATGCTTGAGTTTGTAAGCTGCCTTCAGCAGGTCCTATGGAAAGATGGCACAGAGATTTCTAAATAAATAAATACCCCCATGCACATTCTGTGTCCCATCCCCCCAGGAAAAAAACTGGTTTCACAATTTCTGGGTTTTTACATCTTCTTGCATGTTACACCACTATACAGACTACAGTGTGCCACTAAGAAGAAATGTGGTGGACTTCTGGTTTATGGTGACATGCTGGCGGACGCATCTCCTGGACCTCCCGGGAATGTGATCTGTGCACCAGCGGAAAGGAGGAGGGACAACAGGTTGCCACCTTGGTAAAAGGCTCCTAGCCATGGGGCACATTTATATAAGCTATTGTTACGATCTCCTATACTTGGGGTTTTAGTTAGTAGTGGTTTTCTTTCCTTTTTCCCTAGATGTAGTTACCCGTTCCCAATTTTTCATTGTAATTTGTAGTCTATTAAAAAATGCAATAAAAAATCCCCTCTGGGAGGCCTAAAAAAAAGAAGAAATGTAGCTACTGAGAAAAATTGCTCCAGATGACCCAAGTAACCAACCCAAACCACATACTATGGTAATATTGGAAAGGTGGATATAAACAGATATACTAGGTAAACTGACAAGTTAGAAAAATTTATTTTGACCTAAAAAATACTGATTACTGAGATGCTAAGAATAAGCAAAACCTACCCACCAACAGATTTTTTTAAAAAAGATCTAACTCCAAACCACAGAGGTCTCTCAAGCTTGACAGTTTCTGACAAACCTGATAATGAGAGCAAAAATCACAGATCATGGATGGAAGGGGGGGGGGGAATCTTTTCAGGATTATAGCCGAACACCAGACAAAGACAGTCTTCACAAATATGCTCAAACTCTTAGATTTCTGCAGGTATGAAACATTACCAAGATTTAACACTGCTGTGTTTACCCAACTGCTGTGAGAAATTCCAGTACAAACTGGGATCCCTCAGCTGATGAGAAAGGATAAATTATAAATGACGATGAGAACAGGAACAAACAACATCTCAGGAAAAAAAGGAGGAAAAAGAACACAGGCATAGGTGGAAGCTGGTAGAGCATTAAAAATAGGAGTGTATCTTAAGGTACAACTCTAAATGGCTAGTGCACATTAGATAATTATAATGCAAAAGCCTCTTAAGAAGGATAAACATCTATTATACAGTCAGCTGCACTAGTAATAATTTTAAAATATGAACATGACATTGACAGGGAGGAAAGGTAACTGTCACATTATTCAAGACCCTGGAGACTATTCTGTAAGTAATAACTGCACTTCATGATATCAGGGAAGAAATCTTTGGGTGAACATACCCCTTGGTTAAGGTATACAGACCCTTTTAAAAATGCTAAACATTGTTTTAAAAGGACTTATGCAAAGTTAGACCCTTTTTAAAATGCTAATCATTGTTTTAAAAGGACTTATGCAAAGTTTAAAGGGTGTCCACTAGGGAAGTCTTTTCCCAGCACACAAATACAGCAGATTTCAGTGGTGTGCACATGCACATGTACACACACACACACACACGCAGAAAGCCAGCCAAGCAGCAGGTAATATAGGTCAAGATTAGGCCACTCAGCACTGTAGGAAAAAGGGAAGTGGAAGTTGCACAAACACCGAGCAGTGATACCTGATGTGAGGCTGTGGGCAGAAGTCAAAAGAGGAAAGGTGAAAGGCTATCAGAGGGGTGAGAAAGATGCTGAGGAAGAAAGACAAAGGAGAAACTAAGTGCTAAAGAATCATGGCCAATCACTTGCCCTTCATCACCCATACAAAAGGGCTCTCAACAATTGCAACAATTGCAATACTCTACTCCAACCCACTGCCAATCCATGCAGTACATAAGCATATTCTCTAACACAATTAAAGTAACAGGAGTGTGGGTGTGAGGCTGCCATCTTCACCAAGAGCCTTGGATATGAAAATACCAAAAGATATTGCTGGTTAAATAACAGGGGCCATATCAGTGGTCTTCTGGAAGTGTGAGGTGAGGAAGTGTTTTTTTGTTTTTTTAAGGTGACTATGATCTGCCTAGGATGAAGAAAAAAATGAACTGCCAAATTTCAAACCAGCTTTTAAAACTACAGTAGCTTCACATTGCTTTCCGGAATTCTGAAACCAGCTCTTACCTCCTTCTTATAGCATAGCTGATTATACATAGTTGGCTTTGGAACGGTTTCAATTTTCACCTCCTGGGTAGATGTCCGGTAGGAAGGGTTACTGTAGGTAAGGTTACCCAGACTAGGATCTGTGAACTTGGACTTTTTGTGCCTGCAGGAATACAACATTATTCAGGTATAACTGCCACAGTTTGGAGGAACTACAGCCAAGATTTCACCCTAGACCATCAGAGAGAAAGTAATTCTGTATATTTATTTATTTCATTTATACCCTGCCTTTCTCCCCATTGGGGACTCAAAGAGGCCTACTTCATTCCCTCTCTTCCTTTTTATCCTCACAACAACCCTGCGAGGTAGAGTAGGCTAAGAGTGGGTAACTGGCCCAAGGTCACCCATCAAGCTGTCATCGCAGAGTGGGGAATCAAACCTGGGGTCTCCTAGATCCTGGTCCAACACTTTTACCCACTGCTTCAGCTTAAGGCATATGCATATTTCACTACCACCATATGTATGATTTCCAAGCAACACAAACAAGAGCTAGAAGAATCAACACTTTCTATAAGAGGAAAATGTGAGTATCTGTTGCTGCTGAATGTACTCCGTATCATCCATGTGATCAATGCTGGGATTTCACAGGCCAATGGGAGACTAGAACTGCTTGCTGCCAACAGCACTAGTAAGAAATGCAACATAAGAACATAAGAACATAAGAGATGCCAATGTTGGATCAGGCCAAGGCCCATCCAGTCCAACACTTTGTATCACACAGTGGCCAGAAATACCAGTGCCATCAGGAGGTCCACCAGTGGGGCCAGGACATTAGAAGCCATCCCACTGTTGACCCCTCCAAGCACCAAGATGACAGAGCATCACTTGCCCCAGAGTCCCTATCTATACCTTGTGGCTAATAGCCACTGATGGACCTCTGCTCCATATGCTTATCTAATTCCCTTTTGAAGCCGTCCATGCTTGTAGCCGCCACCACTTCCTGTGGCAGTGAATTCCAAGTGTTAATCACTCTTTGGGTGAAGAAGTACTTCCTTTTATCTAACCCGACCGCTCAGCAATTTCATTGGGAGTATTAGCATCTTAACCTTTATGTTCTGTGTTTCTAACTTTTCTTCTTCACTTAGCCTCTGAAAACAACTGCTGAAAACTAAGACACCTAACTTCTTGAGGAACTTACTCTCCTCAGCTTTGTTGAAAGCGATCTGAGCAAATACTTAAGGGCAGAGAAACAGAACAAAAGATAAAGAAATTACCTGTATGTAATCACTGCACCAATTAGCAGCAGAATGATCAAAACACTAAGGAGGCCTCCAATAATGTAACTGACATGCAGTCCTTCTCCTGAAAGAAGACAAGGGTAAGATGAAGGATGACAGACTTGTGCTGTATAGATAACTTCACCTTTGTAAAAACCTGTGTGTGTGTTTGTAAATATTTTACTGAAACAACTAAAAATATTACAAAACAATATTTTATCACACTTGCAAACAAAGCCTCATTTACAGAAATATCACACCATTAATTTCTGTACTTCTGATACTTCTTTAACAGTCCTAGGTCCCTGCCACACGGCAGGAAAAACGACGGCCGAAGTGTGGCTAATCTGAGCCGCACCAAACTAAAGACGCCGCGACGGGATCCCACGGATCCCCGGAGCTGTGGCACCATTGCTCCCCGGCACAATCAGATGCCAGGGAGAAAGTGACGGTGGGAGGGGGAGGCTGGCGAACTGCGCATGCTCACACATGCGCAGTTTGGCCAGGAGCCGGGGATGCGCCGGCAGAAGGACGCACCGGCGATCCCACGGCCGCACTTGCCGCAGCCTTTCCGGATGAACCACCCAGGTAGGTGGTTCTTTTTTGGTGCGGGGTTTTGGGTGGGAGGGACGGATCGGTGACGGGCACGCAACGCTTCCCAGATGTTGCCGTGGGATCGCGCCCATTTGCCGCGCATCCGATCTGTCCCTCTCCCGGCCCAAATCCTCGCGTGTGACCGGGGCCCTAGTTGATCAAGGAGCAACCCATCTCATTTGTTCCTTTCCACAAATGTTTGCAAAAAGATCAGCTCATTCATTTGCCAAACAATCAGCAGCCATTCTTCTACTGTGGGCAACAGTCCACTGTGTTTGCAAAAAGAATAAGTGCTGTTATAAACAAATTGATCACAAGAGCTTTATGTATTTTCAAGACATACGGCTTCAAGATACTCAGGAGAAAGACTGAAGGGTATAATGGGATAATGGAACCTATTAATCTTTCCGGCAGTGCTCCTTCAGTATATAATTCACTTTAGCATAAGTCTGTCATAAACAAAGGAATGAGGCATTGTCAGGATCCTATTTTCAGCAAGTATTTTCATATATATGCTTAGTTCTGGGTGGAATGTAGTACAACAGAAAGAATATCTATACATGGTTATCTTTCAGATTCACATGCAGGGAACACCTTGTTCCTTCCCTACTGTATGCACTTGGAGTGTCTGAAATTAACAATCACATATCCCCTAATCATTCACTCTTACAATAATACAATCGCCATCATAATTAAAGGGGTTGAATCCCATCCCCCCCCGTTGTGAGTCACTTCTGCGGGGGGGGGGGGGTTTAACCAATCCTCTCTCTCTGATTGAAGCCCACTAAGTCCCCCAAAATGCTTCTCTAGGGGACAGAGGCACTGGCGTGAGTCACTTCTGCAGGGAAGGGGGGGGTTAACCAATCCTCTCTCTCTGACTGAAGCCCACTAAGTTCCCCAAAATGCTTCTCTAGGGGACAGAGGACTCTCGGGATTACTGTAGATTTTTGCAGTGGGAGCAAGGAACTAGTGAAAACACAGCCCCATATATATTTTAAATAAAAGTTTTATGAAAATATAATGAAAATAGAAGCTGCTCAAATACTGCCAAACTTCTTGTCAGATCAACATTTCTTTGTATTTCCTGAGCTGAGCTGAGTTGGTGGCTGGGAAAATGCATGAAGCAAACACATTAATACATTATTCGCTACCTGGAAACATTAAAACCACATTTCTGGGTTGCTAAACTTATTGCAGTAAATTCACTTCATGTTTGAGTTTTCAGTATTTTACACTGAAAAAACACTGGAGTAGCCTGGGACAATGAAAAGTAACATACCTGTGGTTGCTAGGACAGCTTCTTCTGCATGGGTGCACAGACCTTGGCCAGCCTCTTTGTGAGAACAACTGTACAACAGAAAGGTACAAAATGGTCACCTTCAAAACAAAATGCAGCTAGTCACTTGACTGTAAAGGACTGAACCACACTGGGGTGAACCAAAGGAGTGCAACACAGAGTACAATAAAGCCCTCTTTTATGTACCCAAATAACATTTAATACAAATAGTACTTTTGGAATATCAATGAATACTTTATGTAATTCAGTAACCTCTTTCACTATTGGGAAAGAAGATTACAATAGCTAGTTAAACAGAATGATTCAAACTTCAGAATGACTGTAAATGGTAAAACAACCGTGTAACTCTATCCTCCCTTGTCTTCATCCTACAAAGTAGTGCAGGAACTCCATTTTATGGGGCCTAAAACTGGGAAGTTTCTTTCCATGGGGGAGAATCTACAAAGGAAACTGGAACCCGCCTACTCTTGTTTCACATTCACATTTTAGTCTGCAAAGCCACTCACTTTCCTTCAGCTGTTTCCAAGGATGTGTGAGGCTTAGTTGTTGTTGAGACTGGTCTACTAGCCACAGTCTGACTCTTCTTAGTTGTGCTGGTGGTCACAGTTAACGGCACCATGCCAGGAACTACAGAAGAAAGAAAAACAGAACCTGAGGCAGGAAAGATAATTAGGCCCTATGGTGTTTCAGATATGGGGAAATTAGCAATTTGCAAGTTCCAAAACAGACAAACAGGCCAGAATTCTGACTAACCAAATATATACAGAAGAACTAAGACACGGTAAAACAGAGATCTTCTAATAAAGGTAATTAACATTTGGGTAATACATAGGATGTTCTTACGCAGAAGTAGCAGAAGTGGTTTACTAACTACAAGTTACAACTGTGTGGACACAGCCAAAGATAAACTAGAGAGTTCTTTGTTTAATCTGCAACAATTCCCTAAGCAGTACCTCAGTGTTAATATGCAGGTACTTTTTAAATGGTCCTGCACACAATGAAATTAAAAAAACCACTTTGAGCTGTATTCTCCTGAGACTGTGCTGAAATATGCAACCGGGATGTGGGAGGGAATTTCAAGTGCGCAAGACGTTTGACAGACAAGATGAGACAAAATAAAGGTCTCTTGCATGGAGGCATTTCCATCACAAAGCATGCTTTGCCAAGGAGAAATTCTACAATACATGCTACTTTATTGTCTGAAGCTGTCTGGTTTAAGAGCACACAACAACACTGTACTGGTTAAGCAGGAATACAGACTGTGGCTCATAAACAGAAGCATACACCCCAAATAACTTACCAACAGAGCAGGGTTGTCCATCTGGTTCATCTGGACATGCACAAACAAAGTCAGTAGCCCTGGCAAAGCAGAGGTGGGTACAACCTCCATTGTTGACTCCACAAGCATTTGTACCTGAAGGATACAGACAAAAGTTCTAGCACAGGGTGTGGCTTTCTTTTCCCAACCGCAAGGGTTTCATATTCTTACCAGGAAATGCTGGCCAGATGGTCAAGAACAAGGACCAATATGAAAGCCTATCACCCACAGAATCATCACAACCTCGGCATTAAGTAAGGGAAGAGAATCAATCAGCGAAATGAAGAAATACATTAATGTTACCGAACGGACAACCTTGCCTTGTCACCATATGTAGTACGAACCTTTGTATACACCTGCATTTGACTGTACGAGTATGATTTGTCTTGTATGTTATGAGCAAAGCATGAACCATTTCTATGCAGCCAAGCTCTGCTTAAAGAGGGCAACTATAAATAAGCTATATATAAGTTAACTATAAATAAACCAAGGTATGTAAATTGGATTGTCATTTATTTTGGTCATGTTTTTAGCAGTTCCTCTTCCCTTTTGGGGGTTCCCTCTGTGCCAAATGAAGTACCCAGGGCATTCAGAACTTGCCTTACATATTTTCAATACTGCAATTTTTTTCAGGACCTATTAGGAGATTACTATGTATGCAATCTGTTTGGCTGCAAGTTCACCATTAAGGAACCAGTATTGTTGCATGTACCTGTTTGCCTCTGAGGAGAGACCACAATGATGTCCATAAGCCCTTCAACATTGGCCAACACTGTCTCTTTGTTCCGACCAGAGTATTTGTCCACTCGCTGGATAGATTTTGTTTGCCAGTCAGTCCAATAAAGCCATCTGTCCTGCTGCTCAAAAACAAAAACACATTAGGAAAGTGTACCAATAACAAAAGCCTGCTCATAGGAGACTAAACAGACAATGAAAGAGCAAAACATCATCTTCACCACTACTCACATTAAAACAACCTGCTTCTTTGGATTTTGGTCTGTTAAAATCAGTATTGTCAACTCTACAGAGTCTCAGGTTGAGGTCTTTCACATCACCTACTACCAGTATTCACTACCCAGTTTCTTTGTACCTGTGTCAAGGCAAAGGGATGAGCCACTTGGCTGACCAACACTTGGCGCAGCTTTCCATGGAGATCAGCACTCTCTATGCGGTCCAGGTGAGCATCTACCCAATAAATTCTAGAAGAACAGAAAACAACGAAGTAAGAACAACTTCCTTCCTATTCCTGACGTCCTGCCCCAAACAAACCTATTCCCCCCCTCCCATATATTTGAATTTGTACGTCTGCCTCAAGTTATGTTAAAAACAAAAGAAACACTCTGGCTGAGTCGAACCACCCACACCCCAAAATGCACACCTCTAATTTACTATGTCACTAGCAATGCTATACTCACCTTCTGGTGTCATAATCTAAGGTCAGACCATTGGGCCAGCCTAAATCAGTGTTGATCAATATCTTGCGCTCAGAACCATCCAAGTTTGCACGCTCAATTTTAGCAATGTGCCCCCAGTCTGTCCAGAAGAGGTATCTGAAGGTGGGGAAAAACAGGCTGAAAGGTGAACACGCACACACACAATTAGGGTGCCTGAACACCAGCAGTTCTGACTTGACACCAGCTTTCCTTCTCCAAACACTGCTGCTAACTTTTCCTGGTATGCAATTCACACGTCATATAGTAGTACCAGGGTTACTACTAAAAGACTAGTGTGCCAAGCAAAGCAACTGGCTGGGCTCCTTCCCAATGAGCAGAGCTGTTGGCTGGGTCACTTGGCTGTTAGCCTCCTGTCTTTCTCTTTCAAGAGGCAACAGCCTCTTCCAGACAGTTGCAGCTGACTGGAAAGGATTCCTTGCAAGCTTCAAACTGCAATGCTTCCTTGCCTTTGCAGCCTTCTCCCCCCCCACCCCCGGTCCCCCCACTGTCCAGGGTGTTTAGACATGAGCAGAACCCCTGGCAGAAAGGGTTCTAGACAGCTGCTTGAAATAAGCCCTGCCCAACTAGCCATTCTGCTGTACCTGAAGATGGGCTGCTTGTTCATGAACTGATCTGCTGGCAAGAGAACCCCTCCCTACCAAACAAGTGCTTCTGGAAGTCTCAAAATGAGTCTGCATTTTAGAGTACCTCCCTTTTGTCCTCCATACTGTCTCTGTGATCTTATCCATAGAAACACCTGTCTTTAGCTGACTCCAGACTTACCCCTTCCTGGGAAAGACAGCAATTGCTCGAGGCTCATCCAAACTGTTGTTAATTAGCACTTTTCTGCAGCTGCCATCTAGTCGTGCAACTTCAATTGTGTTGCGGCCTGTGTCTGTCCAGTAGAGGTTTCTGGCCACCCAGTCCACTGCCAGACCATCTGTTGTCTTTAGTCCATGGCCAATAACTGTCTCCATATGGCTGCCATTCAGGTCTGCTCGCCTGGAAGAAAGTTAATACCACAGTGAATGATGAAAGGACTCCTTAGTCTACTCAACAATCCCGTCATAGAAGAAGCCCCAGTAACCTACAGATCAATCAAGTAAAGAAGAGCCGTTTTAGGTAATTACTTAATATGCAGACAGGGAGCTTGAGGTTATCTACCTGATGACATCCAAGAAGACATCTGTGTAGTAAATCTTGCCATCCATACTGTCGTAGTCCAGAGAGATGACATTGTTCAGCTCTGGGACCGGAACATGAACATCAGTATGATCATTAGTATCTAGTGAGATACGCCGGATGGAGCCACGACTGGAAAAAAGCAGGTATGTTTCAGGAGATGGGTCACAAGTTTGCTCATCACTCTTCAGCTGGATACCAGTAGGACAGGCACAGGAGAAACCTTTGGGGTTCGGCAAACAGAGATGTGAGCAACCTCCATTCCTCATTCCGCACTTGTTAGCACCTTAGGAAAAAGGAGAAAGGAAAAGCCAATCTTGACATCGTGACTATTTCAACATTTTTCTGCAGTTCTGAACATGCATTTTCCAGGCAATTAACCTTGCTCCTTAGAGTCTATAGGTCTCTATTAGAGCTACCTACCTAGCACACTTTAATCATTTTTGGAGGGTCATGGGAGAAGTTAGAGGGATAAATGGATAGGATTTCAGAAAGGAAAGTCCTCTAAAGACTCTGAATATTGGAAACTTGCCATCATTCCAAGCTGATCAACAGTTAGGCAGCAGAGGATCTTGATTTTGCACTGTCATTTGCCATCTCCATGGCAGCAACAACACAATTCTAAACTGTGAGAAAATTCCCTCCCGTGGCAAAATAAGACCAGTGACTAGCCTCTGAATCACAGGATAAAGTCAGGAGTGTGATAAAAATCAGGAAGCATTAATAGATTAAAGTTTGCCAGGGTTTTAGTAGTTTTTATAAACAGGGTCTTTAAAGCCTGAATAGCAATGAAGGGAGACCATGGACACCAAGTAGGCCCTCTGACTTAAGAATCACAAGCTTTAAAGAGAAAATTTCAAGAATTAAGTCTATAATGAATAACATTAGTCACGCTTCCCATCAGTAGTGGGCATGGGCTTGGGAGAACAGAGCAGAAATAGTTCTGTTCCTTCTATACCCAATTCTCCATTTTCCAAGAGCTGCAGCAGTGGTTTCTTCTGAAAGGAATCCCGGGCCAAGATCTTGGGACTTTCTTTGGCATGAATGAAACCTGGAAACTTACCGAGAGAGCGCCCCCTGTCAATAGCCTGAATGTCCATCAGGCCAGGCAGGTTTGCCCGGACTAAGATGACATTGGCTCCAGTATCTTTGTCAGCTCTGTGAATGCTACGAGTTTGCCAATCAGTCCAGTAGATGTAGGAATCCAGTAGAGTGAGGCCATAAGGGTGCTGCACTGGGGAGAGCAGGGTGCGGCGGTGTGCGCCATTCAGGTCTGCAGCCTCAATACGCTAAAGAAGAGAGCTATAATGAACTTTTATTCCTTTTCAGAGACTCTCTGGAAAAAGGTTATGACTCTATCATATGCAATATTCCCAACACTCTGGACTCGCATACATGTATATCAAATGGTATCCCTTTATCTGACGACTTGCTACGTTGTGTCATATTATACCAAACATGGGGTCATGTGCCTCATACAACCCTTCAGGGGGCTGCAGACCATCATAAATGAGGGTCCAGTGCAAAAGAAGCCCAATTATGGTGGCTGTATATATTAAAGCCACACAGAGAAAGAGAACCATTAACTCATGAACTTTTGTTCTGCTGAGAGGAGCTAACAAGTGGGAAAAGGACTCCCTAGCAGGGTTGGAAGCTGGGGAGCTTTTTGCTAGCAGTAGCAGAGCAACAGCCTTGACCTGAATAGCCCCGGATAGCCTGATCTTGTCGGATCTCAGAAGCTAAGCAGGGTTGACCCTGGTTAGTACTTGGATGGGAGACCACCAAGGAAGTCCAAGGTTGCTATGCAGAGGCAGGCAATGGCAAATCACCTCTGTTCATCTCTTCCTTTGTAAACCCTACAGAGTCACCATAAGTTGGCTGTGACTTGATGGTAACAACCAGTGTTCCCTCTAAGCTGAGTTAGTGTGAGCTAGCTCAGTTTTTTAGCCTCCGGCTCACACATTTTTGTCTTAGCTTAGGGAGGATGGCTCCAGAGCAAAGTAATTTATGCAGTAGCCAAATCGCTCACTCACAACTTTAATGCCAGTAGCTCACAAAGCCGGATTCTTGCTCACAAGACTCCACAGCTTAGAGGGAACATTGGTAACAACAACAATAAAGGCAGAGCAAGGCCTGAGTTTGTTTCTTCTATATCTTCAGGTATTTTGCCGGTGCACAGCCAGAGGCCTTGAAGTGAGCTGGGCCAGTGGATCCACGGCCTGCCCAAGATTTAGAGTATTCTTGGGAGTTGGTGTGTGTCCCATTTGTTAATTTAAATTGTATTTTGTGAGCCACTTTGGCTCCCCAAAGGAGAGAAAAGCAGGGCAAAATTATTTAAACAAACAAATACTTTTAATAAGTTTTTCTTTTGTATAAATGTGATCATAATTTTATAGGGTGACTTATAGATGGACAGGCAAACGAGCCTGTACCAAAAGAGCATCAGCAGTTATATCAGATACCTTTTGATCCACGATGGATTTTTCACATAGGCAAGTCGTCATATGACATTTGATTAACACTCATACATGAATTTATTTTCAGATTGTGAGCAGTCTTTAATTAGTCCCATGTCATCCTTTCTGTCAAAGTATTAAAACTGACTCCAAGGACCACTCAACATCTCTCATGTGAATTCTAACCTCAGTGTGAGCATCAGCCCAGAGTAGCTGTGATCCAGTCTTATCCACTGCTAGGCCATTGGGCCAGCCCAGGTTGCTGCTGATAAGAACCATGCGGTTAGAGCCATCCATCCCAGCTCGCTCCAGTTTGGCATTCTCACCCCAGTCTGTCCAGTACATAAACCTGCAGAAAAGGAGAAAGCCAACCAGCTATTAACAAGAAAGCCAGAAGATTTAATATTCCTGTATCGCCTCTCCCTTTGCCTTTCCCCAGTCCAAGGCATTCTGCTACCAGCACTTACCCCATCTCATGATATAGTGCAATTGCTCTCGGGCTGTCCAAGTTTTCCCACACCAAAACTTTTCGCATTGTCCCATCCAGGTTACCCACTTCAATTCTATTGGTTCCAGTGTCTGTCCAATACACTTTGCGACCGATGGCATCCACTGCTAATCCATCTGTGGTCTGCAGCCCTGTAGGAAAGCATAATGATTGCTGTTCTTGAGGCCCACCCAAAAGTTTATGACCTTTCCCACTTAAAAGCATCTAGTAATAAACTTGGAGAAAACTATACTACAAAAAAAAAAAAGCCTTCAAATCACCCATACAGAAAACCAACAGAATCAATTTCTGAAAGAACCCAGGATGAGGCCAGGAGGGTTCTGGTAAAGCATTTCATTACCTGTAGTAATGATATCTTCATACTGGGAGCCATCCAGGGCAGCCCTGCTGATTTTCCGCAGTGTACTGTCTGACCAATAAACCTTTCCTGGTAAGGAAATAGGATAGCATCAGCAATACCTACCTAAATAAAACTTCCCCTGCAAATCAGACACACTTCAGCCTGGTTTAAACATAGCACCAAAAAAACCCACCACAGGGTTGCACTTAGCTGTAACTGTTGTTCATCGAGTGGTCTTCTGTGCAGACACACATTGAGACTGCATGTGCACAGGCCAGTCGCAGAAAAGATTTTCAAAGTTTTCTAATAGACTAGGAGTGCCCCTGCTCCCTCTGGGGCTTTCCCGCCAAAACAATCACATGACTAGGAGGAGGGACACTACACCCTCAGTTATTTCCATGCCATCACCAGAGACCCCAAGAAACTAAGGTTCCAGAGAGTTCAGAGGGGCAGGAGAGAAGGATATGTGGGTTTTGGTTTTTTTAAAAAATTATTTTAATATTTCAAAATACATGAACAATAAAGCTTGAGACAGTCGTACAAATCACTACGGTTAAGTAAAGAATGAAATCAGTATAACATGGGGACATAGAATGACACCCTCCCATTACCCACTTAAACAATCAACTCCCTTTGCTCCACCTTTTCCAAAAATAAGGACCATTTATCTAAGGAACTATACAATTCCCTCTCACTCCGAGAAGCATTGAAATAAACAGTACATTTTTCCAACATGAAATAGTCCCAGACAAGGGAGAGCCAGGAGGCAGCCGTGGGCGGGTTAGTGCTCTTCCAAAATCGGCCTATAGATGATTTGGCAGCTGTGAGCAGAACGTTAATTAACTCTCTTTTCATTACAGGAGGTTCATCTCACGACCAGTGGCCAAGAAGGAGCAACGCCGCGTCTAAAGGTAAGTCCACTTATCGTATAAATGAGGCGTATAATTGACGACCAAAATTGCCGTATGTGATAGCATTCCCACCAATTATGGAAAAAAGTGGCTTTATTGCCACAGTTTTTCCAACAAAAAGGTGAGGCACGGGCTGAAATATAAGAGAGCTTGACTGGAGTCATATATCATCTGAACAGAACCTTCTGAGCTGCTGCACAAACTGTCAGTGATATGGAAACTTTGTCATTTTCCAGATGTGGTCCCACTGATCCTCGGTAAAAGATCGATTCAAGTCCTTGTGCCATGCTGTTTGGTAAGTGTGAAGTGTGTCTGAGTCCAAGGTAACTAAAATGGAGTACATGTGGGCAATGCATCCTTTCAGTGGTCTCTGTTTTGAAAGGAGCTTCTCGAAATCAGTTAGAGGCCTTTTAAAGTAAGAGATTCCATCCAAAGGGCCAAGCATATGCTGCAGTTGGAGATACTCGAACTAAGGCAGCGTAATTTTAAACTGTGCCTCCAGTATCTGTTTCGGGGCTATCCAGCCCTTAAAGACAACAAGTGATCCCTGCTTGTCTCCATATGCAGAATGAATGGTGGTCTCTAGCCGGGGGTACGTTTAGTTACAGTGCAACCCTGTTTTCATCATCATGGCTTCTCTGCAGCCCTCATTAGGAGATTAGCAAACTCGCTGAGATGGGTGGGTGTGAAGCTCTCAAAGGAAGAGATCACTGAGGACTGCCTTCCCAACAGTTATTAAGTATTCCATATCAACAGTCACTCAGAGCTGCCTTATAAAGGAGCAGGGAGCTCTCCACAAGTGTCCCAAATGAAATACACACAGGCATATGGCAAATAAAAACAGCACTCTGCTAGAGAGAGGCATGATGTATAAAGTGGCATCAAACAGTCATGCACTCAAGACAGAGGGTGCGTTCAGACGGGGCGTTTCAGCCAGCATAAACAGTACCGGTTGGAACCGGTGCAGTTTATGCCGGCTGAAACGCAATCACACCTACCTCCTGTCTGCGGAGCCCATCACTGTATGCCCATTCACACACAGTGGGCGTCGGCGGTTTGTGTTTTTTTTAAACTCAGTTTGTGCATGCGCATAGGCAGCCATCCACAGAATGGCGATCTTCACGCATACGCAAAACACCCCGTCTTACTTTTAAAGTTTAAAGGTAAGGACTTACCTTTAACGTTTAAAGAGCAAAGTGGCCTCCCTGAGGTCCCGGACTCCTCTAAAACGTTAAACTAAGGATCTTTTCTTTTTCTTTTTAAACAAACACCGGGGCGAAGCTTCGCCCAAGCGCATATCACCAACCTAAAAAAAAAAATGGCGGGGGGAAAACGGCACGCCCACGACTCACCAACCGAACGGAAGTAGCTCTGCAACGGTGGAGAGCGATCAGATGGGGGGTAAAGCGATTACAACCATTGCACTCAGGATACCACCACTTGGGGACCTAGTGGCAAAATACAACGGTTTAAAGCTCTTTGTAATGGTTAGGGACGGAAGGCAGATGTTCACCGTGTGAACGCCGGTAAGTACACCAATTCCAACCGGCACCTATACCGTTGCACCCAGAGTGTGATAGACACTACCAACCCACAAGGACAGGATGCTGACCAGTCCTTCTAGGAGCCTGAGAGACCAATACAAAGTATTATTAGGTCTCTGGCAGACCAAAACCCGAGAAAGTCACATTCAAGAAATGTAAGGAGTGCACAGAAGCTGGTGCCAGAAACAAGTGTGAGGATGGTACTGTAAGACATGAGGACTGAGAGACAACGCCTGGTAGGGAATCCTGGCCAGGGCATCATAAAGTTTCATGAATGGAGGGGGGGCACAGGTTAGAACCCACAATATCCTCATTTCACAGTTGGAAGTGCTACATATTTTTAAAAAGCCAGAAACTTTTCTTCTTTAAATGCAGTTTATGCCTCACTAGAATGACTACTGACAACAAAAAATGCTTAAGAGAAACAAGTCTCCTCGGCCTCAAGAATGTGGAGAGAGAAAAAACAGAGAACATCAATGGAGACCTTTTCTTCACAGCAGCCGAAAGAGAGCTGAGGGAGTGGTGCCCCGGGGCCTCTTGGTCCTGTGATTGTTTTGGCGGGAAAGCACCAGAGGGAAGAAGAGTGCTCCTAGTCTGCTAAAAGCTCTTGCCTATCTTTTCTATGGCTGGACTGCACAGAAGCCACAGTGACAAACCATGGCTTCATTTAATTCTGGTTATTTTTTCAGGATACAGATCAGACTCTCTATCCTAGCTTGTCTTGGCAATTCTATGTTCAGAACTTTCTCACCCTCCTAAGAAAATGCCTTTGCTATCACAACATGCATTGTGGTGCCTGACTGAGGGAAAACTTTGCAGAGTCAATCACCTACTTTCTTTTGGCCAGAGTTACCCCAGGGCCATAAATTTATACCCCCTTTCCTTAACATTAACTCTTTCCTCACACCAGATCAGAAGGCATCCCTTTCAAGGGTTTAACACAACATAACCATCCCACATTTCATCTACTGTTGTCAACCTTATTCCACATCTGCTGTTGCTGGAGCTCACCTTGCACACTGGTAGCATCAAGGCAACATACTTCCTAGACCTGCTGGTACAGGTGATGCCTTCTAGACCTGTGCCCATGCCACTCCAGATGCCTCTGGAGCTTACAGCCGTGGACTCTAGTGGCAGGCAGGGATGACTCAAAGCATTAAGCTGCCCCAAGGAACTTCTTCCCATGCCACCCCTGCTGGGCCAGGTGGGCTTAAGAAACATATTGCATAAGATTTGTGGGTTTTTTCAACCCTTTTGGTCCCCTGGGCTTCAAAAACAGCCTGCCTCAAAGCCCAGCCAGAGTGCATCTCCCTGACATCCCCCATCACAGTATGCAAGAGCCAGACTTGTTCCTCAGCAGCAGAGACACAGACATGGTGAGATGTCCTACTTCCAAGAACTGCCCTCCAGCAGCCTTGCTTTGGGTGGTAAAACAAGTCATGTTTTGTTTCATTGTGGCATGCCATGTTCCTGCACCTTTAAGCATAGGCACAGATAACTGTTTATGAGAGACAGAAAGTTCAGGACAGCTTCTATTTTGAGTGGCTCTTGTGAAGCATCTCTGTAGCTCAGACAAGCCCAAACATCACTGGGAAACAAGCCAGGATTAAGTCAGGACTAGCACTGGAGAAAAGTGTCATGTCCTTTGAAGCTTTTCATGGCATGGAGGTTAACAACATCATCTGGTAAATAACACCCCATGAAGCTCTATTAAAGTGATAGGATATCTTTTCTCCAGGCAATTGGCAACCCTAGTCAGTTTGCCACGTTTGTACATGATGCAAAACCATATTTAAGAGTACCTGTGGTTAATAAACCAAGTTCAGATCTTGGTTTCATGGAACTTAACTAACCATAATTAATGTAGTGTCCCACATTCAGATAATTAATTATGTTTAGTTTAATTCAATATAGGTACCTCTTTTTGTCTGACCCAGACCTTAAGATTACATTAGTATCCTGTAGAATTCAGCATGACAGGAAGGAGAGCTATTCATTTAATAAAAGATTAATTTCCTTTTATTTTAAATAATGCACTGGTCTAAAAGAGAAAATAATTGCAGCATATAATGACAGAGGAGGCTGCATGTGCATTAAAAAAAAAATGAGGAGTGTGTACATGGTATTTGTGAAGCTTAGGGCCTGTCACTAGCAGGAGTTTATCTTGGCATGGAGGAAAACCAGTAGGAAAAGTTTCATTACCTGTCACTGCAGCAGATATGCTTTACTGAAGAAACACAACAGCCGTAGGTGCTGTGAAACACTCACAGTCCAAAACTAAATTCCTTTTGTGATGTGAGTTGGTGTGTTCTTCACTGGGGTAGATGTTATAATATTACTTGAAAAATTATATTTTACCATGACTAAGACCTAGAAACAGAGGGGATTTCTTGGACAGGGGAGAATTTCGTAGCATATAGCTGAAGTTTAGGAAGACCAGCTCTCAGCCTGCACGTACATGTCTCAGAGCATTCTATTACAACCACAACCTGTAGCAACAGGTCGCAGAGGAAAAAGGAAAGGTCAGTTGAAACTCAGCTATACTTGCTGCCTAGCAGGAAATCACACATACATTAGCACTGTCTAGGGAAGAAAGGGGAAACATGTAGCACACTTTCTGAAAATCAACCAGTAGTGTCTATTCCTTCAGTGTCACTAGTAGCTCTGAAGTTATTGCTACTTAAAATGGTCACATTACAAAATATTTCAGACCTTCCAGAGGATCCACCCCAACAGCAATGGTGTTTTTCATGGTAACGTTGACTGAGACAACCACATCAGCAAAATATGGGATGTCGAGTGAAACCAGACGAATGTCTGATCTTCTGGCAAAAATCAAGAAGCTGGTCATCCCTGCAGAATTTGAGGACAAGATTAATATTAGAATAAAGAAGTATGGTTTAGTCAGCAGGATCAGGATGGAACTAACAGTTGTCTCCATATGTGCCTCATCAAGACTGTAACCTTCCTGGTTTAGAAGTAACCACAATTGGTCATTGCATCCAAATTGGGCACTTTCACAAACTGTGGTTTGTTCTTCGCTTATCAAACAGGATTCTAAACCAGAACCAACTTACAGTCTAAAATCCTGGTTGGTAGATCAAGAACACTAAAAGTATTTCTTGCATTATGAGTTCAGAGATTTTGTACTTGGAGGCCTTAGAGGAGCGGGATGCGGACTTCAATGAACAGGAGGATACCTACCTGGTGAGCAAGTCCTGCCATCTGGCTGTAGGTTGATGCCGGTAGGACAAGTACAACTGTAATCCTTAGGGAGAGGGGCCAGGAGGCAAAGATGACTGCATCCACCATTATCCACTTTGCATGGTGTGTATACTGGAGGGGGAAAAGACAACACAATGCATCCAAATGTCAGATTCAAAAGCCCAGTATAAGAAGCATTAGCATCCGTTAAATGCTGTAAAGGCATGTATATGAATTAGGTAATGGAGCCCTTTCCATTATATAGTTATTAAGAAGTCTCTTTCACATGTCTCAAGTTAGACTTCCACTGGGAAGCAAGGTGAGAACTCAATATGTAATGAGGAAGAACGCCTGGGCAGGCTCTCACAGTAATCTTCTGTACCTGGAGGCCTGTGCCGATGAAAGACATGGATATCCATGAGGTTCTCCAGGTTGTCTTGCAGAGTTTCACGATTCTGTCCGGTCCTTTTGTCAGCACTCTGAATGCTCTTCGCCTGCCAATCAGTCCAGTAGATCCGCTCTCCATAAACAGTAAGCCCAAACGGGTGAGGGAGATTGCTTCCAATCAATACCTGCCAGTAATATCCAGAGGACATTATGAGTCATGTCCAGGAACACCAGCAATCAACCGCTAGACACCTTGCACAACTTTAAATTAACAACACATAGGTGTTGCAGCAGTCATGAGCAAAAAGACTAGGAAGTGTGTGGAGGCTGCAAGAGTCTCGGAAAGGCAGCCTTTCGCTCTCCACACTGGTCACTGTATCTTTCCTTCACTCCAAAGTAAGGTATCTCTTGAGATATAGCTGGTAGTTTTTTCTGGAGAAGAAAAGCCAGCATTTTACATTTTCAAATGTTGGTATGTATTATATCATTTTATTGTATGTAGCACACTTTCTTCAGTATGCTACCCGCTATTTTTGTAATCCCATTTTATTGCAGTGTTGATAACATTATTATACTACTCTGTCTGCACTATTTTAACTGAGTTTTGGTGAGAAAGGTAGACTATAAATGAAGCAAATATATAAATTTTATCTCCAAGTAAGTTTATGCCTTTCCTACTTATTACCCAGTTTCCAGAAGCCATCCCTTCAAGCCAGGCCCTCTTACCCTCCTGTGAGAACCATCCAGGCCAGCATACTCAATAGTCTTCATACCAGCATCTGCCCAGTAAAGGCGCTGAGACTCATAGTCAATAGCTAGTCCATTGGGCCAGGTCAGGTTAGAAGAGATTATCACCAAGCGACCAGAAGCATCCATTCCTGCACGCTCAATCTTTGGGTTAGCCCCCCAGTCAGTCCAGTACATGAACCTGCACACAAGCAAAAAACATAATGTATGACTCTGCTGATATGTACAATTTTATCGCCCATTTGCCACCAAATCCCACAATCTAATAGTCCCAGTGAATTACAATACAGAAGCAGGGGTGACTAATCAGTGTGAAAGAAATCTAAGCCCAGAGTGATACACCACCTGCATACACAAAATGCTTCACATTAAGTTGCCCTTCAGGCGGTGATAACAAGAAATACTCCATGGTCAGAGATAGAACATACGGCAATAAATGGACTTATGCTAAAACACTAAGAACATTTTCTATGGGGGTAAGAATTCAGTGGCTTAAAGCCATGTCTGTACTTGTGGTCTGGAAGAGAAGTTTGAACTCCAGATCAGTATAGTTGAAAGACCATTCAATTTCTAGGACTTCTAAAGGAAGTCTCTCAGAATCAAAGCCCAGTGCCACGAAAGCATTATTTCTGTGCTGTTTCCAGAGGGAAAAGTTTCTTACCCTCCAACAGGGTCTACTACAATGTCTCTAGGTCTGTCTAGGTTCTCCCATATCAGCACAGTACGCATAGTCCCATCTGTGTTGGACACCTCTATCCGGTCTGTCCCTGCAGTGAATAGAGGAGGAACAAAAAATCATAAACCTCTATAACTACAGGAGAGATCACAAAAAGAATCACCAATGTGGTCTCCACTGCACTCCCATCCCCTTACCCCCCCCAAGGGAAGACATACTCTAATACACTCAAGATTACTTGCTCAGCAGATCTGAAAGGCACTCCCTTGAATCCCACATCTCAGACCCTCAAGTATTTGATAAACGAGGCTGCCAGTTCTCAGCACATTTATTTGGAAGCAAGTTCCATCAAAATCAGTAGAATGGAGGGATGCAGAATCAAATGATCATGATTGGCCTGGACTTCAGGTTTTACAATGGGGGGACTCCAGGTTTGAACACTCACCACCTATGGGGGGGGGGCATTTTGAAAATGGAAAAACAGAGTGATCATGATTGGCTTGGACTTCAGGCTTCACAATGGGGGGACTGAAGGTCTGAACACTCATCACCTATGGGGGGGCATTTTGAAAATGGAAAAACAGCTTCTCAGGAAAAGGACAGGCTGAATGACCTTTCTCCCCCAACATACCAGTTTTCTGTATGGCATGGGTAGGTATTCCTCCCCTTGGGGAGCATTCAAAGCCACTATCCACAACTTGAAGTCTGTAATGGTATAATACTGGGAAGTTTTAACATTGGATTTCTAATGAATCAATACTGTATGTACCTCTACCAGAGTGCCGTCCGTTGGATGATTTACTATGAAAGTCATACTTCCCAAGTTATCTATTATTCTATGTATTATTCATGCTTTCAAAAACCCATCTTTGGGATAGACTGGTTAGAATTTCAAAAGCAGTCTTCCAGAGATTATTGACCTTGTTCTGTTATATGGAACAGAGAGCTTTAGTACCTGCATCAGTCCAATACAACTTGTTGGTGACCCAATCAATAGCCAAACCAGCTGGGCTTTCCAGGCTGGTGTCCACAACAACCTATGCAATAAACAAAAACAAAATGAGTCTTATAAGAAAATAGTCCTCTGTCTGTTCTCCCTCAGGAATACAAATGTGTCTAGCAACATCTAGCTATAAAAAAACACCAGAATGGAGTCTCAGAATTAACTAAATATCTACATATAAAGAGATGGATACAGAACAACCTGAGCTTTGGTAGTTAGTTTTGGCTGTTTGAATGATAAATTGTGGCTACAAAAATGATGGTTGGAGAGAGAATGTATTATTTTCCAAACAAGATTCTGTACTTATTACTTTTAAATAATGTTTTATACTTCCTTATTATCTGATTCTCTTGCATAGTTTTACTGCAAACTGTCATGCTGTGGGCTACCTCAAATGTCTTTGGGGTCAGAAATCAGCTAATACCATCACACAATAAACTGAGGTTGTTCGTGTCATAGTATAAGTTACTAAACTGAATATTCAGATGGATGCTTCTTTGTATTCTAACAATCAGTTGAAACAAATTAAGTTGTGTGTGTTTACAGATAACCAAAATGGCCATCTAAGAAATAAGCCCAGGTCATCATACTTGTTGATAATTTAGACATTTTCAAACTGGATGTAGATTATCTATGCAGACAGAAGAAGCTTGTTCTTACTAGATCCCATTCAGACAGCTGCCTCTTCAGTTCAAAAGACATTACCTCTTGGCCTGCTCCATCCCATTTTGCCCGACTAATGGAATCAGTGCCGACATCTGTCCAGTAGACATAGTCATCCTTTGCATCCCAGTCCAGAGCGACAGCGCTGCGCACATCAGCCAAGGGAATAACATCATCGGACAGGTCTTCTGTGTCGAAGCTGATACGACGGATGTCCATCCTTCGGGCAAAAAGCAGGAACTTGTCAAGACCTGATCAAAGGTCGAAAGGTCTTCTTTTAATTTCTCTAAGTTTAACAACATGGTAACAAACACAGAAAATTCTCTTCTTACATCTAACTTCTGCTGCATCAATGCCCCTCTAAAAGGAATTATATGTCTGACCCATAGTTGGAAGCAGACCAGGTTACTGAACAAAATGAATAGAACAGAGAAGGGAAATAAGCATATATTGGGAAGAGACTAAAAGAGAACATATTATTGAAAAAAAATATTCAAGTGGAACAAGTATGGGTAAAAAACGTGACATCACTTCTGTCATTCTAGAAGTGGGGGGAGATGAATTCCGTCACTAGCCTCTCCCTTCATAACAAAGAGTTTTCTTAGATCACACCAAGTGTCTCTGTAGTCCTGCTGCCAACAATAGGCAGTCAGATGGCCGCAGGACCCCCATACGCAGGCCATGAAGGCAGCAGCCTACTACCATTGTTTGCCCCTCAAGCTACTGGTATTCAAAGTGCTTCTAAACATGGAAGTTCACTTTAGCTATTAGCTGAGGACAGACATATCTTCTATGAATTTATCTAATCCTTTTTGTAGCATTCTAAGCCATCTTGCAGCAGCAAATTCAGTAGTTCCTATATATATAAAGTCGTTTCCATGTCCTGAACATTCTGCCAGTCAGTTTCACCAGGTAAAATTATTATGGGAGGGGAAAACATCCTCTGTACAATACACAACGTTTTATAAGCCTCTATCATTTCTTCTTCTTCACCCTCAAACTTATTTTCTTTAAAAAAATTCCAAGTGCATTAGCTTTTTTTCTCATGAGGAAATGCTCCAAACCCTTGATCATTTTTGGTTGCCGTTTTCTATAACTATTCCAGCTCTAAGGTACCCCTTTTGAGATGGTGCTACTAGAACTACATACAATATTTGACATGTGGCCCACAGCCCAGATGTATATAAATGCACTACTATACTGGACATCTCACTGTTAATTTCCTTCCTTTTACCCTTCTATTCATCATTAAACTCTGCACATTGTATTTGTTTGTTCTCTCTGTCTTTTCCATCATTGTATTTGTTTGTTCTCTCTGTCTTTCACACACACACACCACTCTACCTAAGTTCCACTCTTATCTGTAGTCCCTTTCAAGACCCCAAAGTCTAGTCTACAAATTTCAACAAATTCCCCCCAGCCTGGATATATTTAAAACAATATAGTCAAAGCACATAGGCTTTTCTCCATCACACTTACTGTGGGCACAAGTATGGGTGCTGGTCTTCCGAAAGCCTGTGGGACAGGCACAGGTATAATTTTTGTTGTTTGGTAGGCACAGATGAGTGCAGCCCCCATTGTTAGTTCCACAGCGATTTCTCCCTGCTCAAATAGCCAAAGAACAAACAACATATAAGGAAGCCAATAAAGAAAACAAAGGCACAGTTCGGGACACAGGGAAGAGAGAAAGCTACATGTCAATCAGCTTTGATTTCTGCACGCACATGCATATACAGGCACATAATAACTAAAAGATTTCTATTACACACATTACTGCTGTTAGTCCTTTTAAAAATTAAACTTTTGTTTTCTTTTCAAGGACATGGCCAAGCTTTTTGGGGGGTTGTTTTTGTGTGGGGGCAGTGGTGGTGATGTAAAATTTCAAGTACATTATACTGCTTATAATGGCAAAAATCTCAGGTGGCTCATGTACTGTGTGTTTGGTATGTGAGGATATTGACATTTTTTCCCTTAAGTTCTATTAGGATAGTGAAATATGAACAATAAAGATTGTCATTAATATTGACTACTTACTAAAGTTGTAATATGCCTCAGCTTCCCTACAAGCCAGCAGAGGGAGTTGAGATTATGGTTAAAAGTATTCCCAAAGATCACTGTCCATAAATATCTCTTCTGCTTCAAGCCTCAACAATAAATAAGATTACCAGATAATACCCTCCCCTTGCAGTGCATGTGAGCTTCTGGGGCATTTCAAGGGACAGAATGCTAGGCTATGTAGACATTTTGTTTGATTCTGCAAGACAACTCTCATATTCTTCTGTGAGTGTCACAGTTGAAACACACAACAAACTGAGGGCTGAACTAATGCACATATTTTCCCCAATGGTATTAGCATCAGCACGATGGTTTCTAAGTCACTGATAATGGACAAGTATTATTACCACCTGAACATTCAAACTCAGCAAGGGTAATTAAGATCCCTAAAGTTGATGACGATTCACTCTCTAAGAGTTAAGGTCTTAAATGTAAATACATGTGGAGTCTTTATATACCTCCTGGCTTTTCACACACACCATCCTGGGTTTTTTTAGCTTATTTTCACAATTATCAGAACTTAGAAGTATTGGGGGAGGGGTGGTTAAAGATGAAAACAATCATGCTCAGAATTATAGTATAGTAAGTCATAAATCCCAGAAGTATCTCTGAATGATATGGGATCAGCAGACTATATTTTTCACCCCATGACATATAATTTCCTTGCTGGTGGGCATGGCAAATCAAGTCTATTGCTATTTGGATTGCAAATGGCAGGCCCTGTGGCCCCAGGTGCCTCTGCAGTTACCTGCTGGCTGACGTTGAGGGTGCAGCGTATGGATATCCATAGGGAAGTGAAGCTTGTTGCGAATGATCTCCTGATTCTTGCCAGTAAATTTGTTTGCACTGTTTATGCTCTTGGTATGCCAGTCAGTCCAATACAGGCTGTCTTCAAACACTGTGATAGCAAAAGGATGCGGAAGACCTGCAGGAAGAATCCAGCACAAACCCATGGATTACTCTAAGCCTTCAGGAGGGTTCTAGAACAGGTCTTTATTCTGTCTCCCCAACCCAGAGGCGTTTTCTATTGGCAGAATAAGAATAGCCATATCTAACATGTAACCACGAAAGCTGTGCTTAGCTGGCTACACAAAGCTCATTCTAAGGAGAAGGATGATGAAGCTCAGTCCTGGCTGATATTGAGCAGGTAAAGAGTTAACAGAAACAGGGGGATTTCAGACAGCCGATATATTCCAGTTCAGAACTGTTCCCTAACGGTTTTTGGTCTGACATTTCAGACAGAACCGTTTTAGTAATGGTTCCCTACCGGAATATATTTTCACTTTCAGACAGAAATGCTTCTGTCCTGTTGGGGAAGTGTTTCTGAACCGTTTTATCTGCAAACTGCTTCCAAGTGGTCTTCACTTTTCTATACCGTTTCTGAAGCGCTATGGGGTGCTGTGTAAAAGGCCCCATAGGGCTTCCTCCCGCGCCGCTTTGTTTTTCCACCCGTTTTCATCCACGCGGGCGATCTCTGTCCTTTTTTTTTTGAACGTTCATTTTAGAGCGCTATACCGCTATGAACGGTTTTTTTTAAAAAGAGCCAGAGATCGCCCGCACGGGCGAAAAAGGGCGGGAAAACAAAGTGGCGCAGTCTGAAATGCCAAACCACTTCAGAGACGGCTCCTTACCGGTAGGGGAAGGGCTGTGTGAAACGGCAGCCCTGTACCGGTTTACTCCAAGATGGTCCAATAACGGCTTAAAATGGCTTTAAAAGGGTAATGTGAAATCCCCTACAGTTTATGCAAGCAAGTGAGAATAACTGTGAACCAACTGCAGACAGTGTATTTCATTTCCACATGACCTAATGGTGCAAACTTCACTTTGCCTAGCTTAGGAACTGGCCAGGAGTTTCATTGCGGCCTGCAGTCTTTGCCCAGTACAGTCAGCCACACATTATGCAGGTGGCGTGCACAGCCTACATGTTACCTTTGCTTGTCTTGGTACTACCTATACTGTTACACACACACACACACCATTTCCCTTATCTCACCTTGACTAATGACAGCTTTCCTATTCTGTCCATCCAAGTCAGCCCTCTCAATGACATGATGTTTCGCATCTACCCAGTACATCCGGCGCCCTGCATAGTCAATAGTTAGCCCATTTGGCCAGAAAAGGTGAGTGTCTGCGATGATACGCCGATTGGAGCCATCCATGTTTGAATATTCTATGCGAGGAGTATTTCCCCAGTCAGTCCAGTAGATGGTGCTATTGGAGAAAAGAGGAAATTCAGGCACTCTGATCTACTGGCTGTTCTGATGAGCAATTTGGAGCTTAAGAACTGGGAGAGATGATGGTGACCAAGGGTTTTGTTCTCCCAGCATGTGAACAAGCATCTCTGAACAAATATCTTCACAAGGCAGGGTATTATCATTTACAGAAACCATTCATCTATAGTAAATCAGCAGTCCAAGTACAGAGAAGCATTTACCCCATGAACATCTGCATAGGAAAGCAAGAAGACCTTCACTGCTCAGAAGAATGTATTTGAGCCAATTTCAGCCCATTAAACTTCAACACAGAAACTAACAGAGGAATCCTTGGCCATCATCCATCACTCACCCTTCCATGGGGTGAAGAGCAATTGCTCGAGGCTTTTCCAGGTTCTGCCAGAGAAGCACTTTCCTGTGGGTTCCATCTAAATTTGCCACTTCAATACGAGACGTCCCAGAGTCTGTCCAGTACAACTTGTCATGGATCCAATCGATGGCCAGTCCACCTAGGATCCAAAGGAGAAGAGAAGCCTCTAATGAGTGCGGGCTGGGCTCACTCGTATGATATTTCCCCCACTAAGGAACACTGAAGAGAATACTCAATTTCCCCTCGTCCAACAAAATCAGCAATATTCTATCACCCTTCCATGGGGTGAAGAGCAATTGCTCGAGGCTTTTCCAGGTTCTGCCAGAGAAGCACTTTCCTGTGGGTTCCATCTAAATTTGCCACTTCAATACGAGACGTCCCAGAGTCTGTCCAGTACAACTTGTCATGGATCCAATCGATGGCCAGTCCACCTAGGATCCAAAGGAGAAAAGAAGCCTCTAATGAGTGCGGGCTGGGCTCACTCGTATATTTCCCCCCACTAAGGAACACTGAAAATAATACTCCATTTTCCCTCGTCCAACAAAATCAGCAATATTCTTAAAAGCAAATAAACCTAGGCATCCATTGGTCTCCATGCCTGCACATATTTCCTCACTTTCCTTACACTGTGGCTCTGCAATCATTAAAGACACTGACCTGGACTCTCCAGCCCTGTGGACACCACCTCTTCCACATTGCTACCATTCAGGTTGGCCCTCATGATGCGATCCAGAGTGACATCAGACCAGAACACTAACTCTCTGCTGTGGTGGAAATCAAGTGCAATCGCATTCTCCAGGTTGTTCAGGAGTAAGGTATACTCTGAGCGGTGGGGCAAGACCTGCCGGATATCAATACGATTGGCGAAAAGTAGCACAGGCTCTGGCCCTGAGGGATTCATTCAGAGAGAAGTGAGTGGGTCAGTAAGACAAAGCTTATCAAAACAAAAACAACAAAGTTCATGGATACTAAAATGTATCCAGGCAGCTCCGATAGTCTGATCTGAATTTCAGTTCGCAGACAGAAATGTGGTAAGCAATATCATTCTTTAAAAAGTGGCACTATGTTGAGCAGGTATGGCTCAATATGGCCTAAATGGACTGTGCCACTCATGCCATTGTTACGATCTCTTTGTTTTGTTGCTGCCACGGCAGAGAACAGTACCAGGCACAGATACACTTACGGTGTGGCTTGGGGAACTCAGATGATTCGACAGATCCAAGCCTCAACAAAGACCTCATGTGAACATGCAAATCTCTTGGCTCAGCCCTCAGCAACCTCAAAGCATTTAATTCTGTAAAGGTTCATCATGTACAATTTTTTTGCATATGGATTGTTTCCTGAGGAGGTTTCCTGTTTCCTGAGGAGGTTCTATTGCATGTGGACTGGCTGTTGAAATTCTAATCTTATCTGTAGTGCTACTGTCAGATGTAGAGTCTTTTGTGTTTTTCAGGACAGGAAACCATGCCCTATTTATTTTTAAACTCTCTTCGTTCCTGTTGAAATTGTTTATGTTTATGAATCTCAGTGGCTTCCCTGTGTAATCTGACATGGTAATTGGATGTGTTGTCCAGCCTTTCAGTGTCTTGGAACAAAAGACTGTGTCCTGTTTGAGTTAGGCTATGTTCAGCCACTGCTGATTTTTCAGGTTGGCCAATCCCTATACAAAAGAACCTCCTCAGGAAAGCTCCTCCATTAGCATGTTTTCACAGCCTGGGGATCTCTTACAAGATAATGACTCAGCCCTACCCCACCTTCCTGAGTTGATATAAATTACCTGCCTATCATTTTTCTTCTCACCTTGACACAGAGAGTACTCCGTCTTTCTGTGTTATACCTCTGAGGATGCCAGGCACAGCTACTGGCGAAACGTCAGGTACTACAATGCCAAGACCACGGCCATACAGCCCGGAAATTCTACAACAGCTAATGAACTCCGGCTGTGAAAGCCTTCAACAACATACCAGGACAGTTCCACCACTACCATCCCCAGTGAATCAATTTCCTATTTTCCACTGGAACATGGAAGCAGTAAACAGACAAAGCAGCAACTGACAACTAAATGCCAAAAACTAAAATTCTGTACAAAGCCAGCAGTACACCTTCAGCCAAATTTAGCGCTTCTAGGTAGTGATACACTGACTATGCCAGGAAATCAAACCAGGCCATAAGAGCCAAGAATTCCTTCTTACCCAGGGCTTTGCAGCTGCGCTTGTCTGGGCGAAGTTCATAGCCTTGCTCACACCAGCACTGGAAGCCACCCTCGCTGTTGGTGCATCCCTGGCTGCAATAACCTTCCTCTGCACATTCATTCACATCTGCAACAGAAAAAAAGGAGAGAGTTACCATGTCTTTAGGTGTTAGACTAGCTAGATCTTCCTTAGGTTCTGGATTTCACTCTATTCTGGTCAATCTTTGGAGATTATTCGTATAAATAACATAGGGAATTTTTTTCAGAACGATGGGCTTTTCAGAAAAGCATATCTTGTGTCTTGTGTTCAAACAGCCTAGGGACGTGTCATAATATCCAAAGTAAACAGGGAATTGTCCCTGAATTTGCTTGGCTCCATCTGTGGCAGCATTCAATAGGTCAGACCAGGTTCTGAGCATGACCCAAAATCCCCCTCCATTCCTGACAGTAGCTATTCATGATTTTACCAAGAGACATATGCTGCGCTTAAAGCTGTTCACCTTGACACAATCTGCCATCCTCCAGGAGCCTGTAGCCAGTGTGGCAGGTACACTGCACCATCCCTCGAGACATCTGGCATTTATGGGCACAGCCGCCGTTGTTGAGGTTACAGTTTTCCTCCCCAGTTCGAGGACCTGTGATATGCATACATCAAGTAGAAAGCAACATTTGCCATACAGAATAGCTACTATTTTGTTGAACTTGATTTTAGAAAGTACCAGGAGCCCCCACACTGATGAGTGTGTGCCTGAGACAGAAAAGACACCTAGCACCATGAGAGGGAAAACACTGAAATGTAGTAGTTAGGATCTGGGAGCCTGGATCTGGGAGCCCCATGATTGAATCCCCACTCTGCCACAGAAGCTTGCTGAGTGACCTGGCACCAGCCACACATTTCCGCTTAACTTAACCCACACAGAAGTTGTGATGTTAATATGGTGAAGAGGAGAATGGCGTAAGCCGCTTTAAATCCCCACCAGGGAGAAAGGAGGAGCATAAAGGAAGTAAATCAATCAATTTTAAATGTAGATGATTCCTCTTCCAAAAAGGAGACTTGGCTAGGATTCTCCCAGTTTCACAAACATAGTTATTCCCTTTCACAAGCTGGTTGCTTTTTACTTCCATAAGGCAATCCACAGAGTCTGCTACAGGGTTTGGAAAGGCCATATGGGTCCAGGGACTACTTAAGTCAATTTGTGACTTGTCTCCTCTTCTTTCAGTGCCTATTCTGCCCTGGCCAACACCCCAGCCATTTCCTCCCAATTCTATTTTTCTTGGTCCCTTCCTGGCAACTGTCTTCTCCCTCTTTCCTTCAAAAACAACTGCTTTTCTTTCTTTTCTTCAAGATGATCATCTCAGATGACTCTGGTCAGCCCTGATTCAGATCTTAGGTATGAACTTAAGACATCCTAGACAACTGGTCACCTTTGCTATTTTATATCACTAATCTCCTGTCCAAAGGTATACATCATCAAAATTTTGGGTTTGTTGTAGATATGGTTTTTTGTTTGTTTGTTTGTTGTCAAATCATAGCTGACTTATGGCAACCCTGTAGGGTTTTGAAGGCAAGACAGAGGAGGTTTGCCATTGCCTGCCTCCGTGTCACAACCCTGTACTTCCTTGGAGGTCTCCCATCCAAATACTCAGCAGAGCTGATGTTGCTTAGCTACTGAGATGTGACGAGATCAGGATAGCCTGGGCTATCCAAGTCAGGATTCAGGCCAGAAAAAACTAGGGAAATAGAAACCCAGCAGAACAGAATCCAAGTCCCAGAGAATCTCTGCAGTAGAAATGGAAGGTGGGGGGCATTTCTGCAAACCCAGAACAACCAGTGCAATTTGCCCAGCAGAACCAATGCCACTGTGGCAGTGTAAACCCAGCAGGACTAAGGGCAAGCAATAGAAACTGACACATAAGTAAAAATATTACTAGAGAATCTTTTTGTTAAAACAGGGTTATTCACACTTTTAACACAGACTAACTAGAATTTCATAAAGATCATCCATTGATTTTACACTGATAAGTAAAGGACAGCATTTATTTGAACCCATTACTTATTTCTCATCTAAAACAAGTAGATTATAGGCAAGGAGCATCTTCAAAGAAGAAACTCCAGTTTAACAGGACTGATGTCTAGCACAGAATCAAAATCCACATGTGGGAGGGGACCCAGTGCCAATGTGGAAATGCCAGCTCAAGAGGACTGATGTCAAGCACAGAATTACAATCCAAACATGGGGGGTGGAAGCCCAGCAGAACCCACTGCCAATGTGTTAATGCCAGCTCAATCACAATCCAAGGCAGGGGGAATTTTTGCAAGCCCAGCAGAACCAGTGTAATGTTCAGAGTAACCAGAAGTACTAGTGCAATCACAGAGTGCTCAGCAGAAACCAGTGTCACTGACACTGCACGCTTTAACGGACTGAATTCAAAGCACAGAGTCACAAATCCAAGCAAGGGGGTGGGATTTTGCAAGTTCTGTGCAAGAAAATGGGAAGTGAACACAAAGGAATGCTGTCAAGGGGGGGACCCTCTCGAAACTGACATGACTAGTTTGAAACTGACAGCAGTGTTTCCAAGGCTGGAGACCCCCCCCCCCCAGCTTTGAAATTTGGTAAACAGTTTGTTTGAGGGAAGAGAGTCTGTCTGAAAATGTATCCACTCAGGAACTGGCAGGAACCTCCAGAAACTGCTTGAAAGTTCATGGAAAGTTTGCGCCAGTTGACCTGCCACAAATTTCAGTTTGCAAACCATGAACTGGCCAAAATTCGTTACAAACTTTAGTTTGTGAGCTGGTTTGTGCCCATCCCTTGGGTATAACAGAGCTCTCTTTCTTAGCGCAATCCCCCAGACATCAGAACTGAAGCACTTCTTCCCACCCACTTTCCTGGAATCTCTTCCATCAGCCTTGGATGCCATCATAATCAACGCCAAAATCAACTATGAGCCTATGGGGATGGGAAGGAGGGGAAACGTACGACAGTTTTGATCTGGGCTTTCGTCACTACCATCTCCACAGTCATTTGCACCATTGCACAGCTTTCTTTGGCCAATGCAGCGTCCATTCCCACAAAGAAACTGATCAGGGGCACATTGCGGGCTTCCTAAAAAGGGGCAGAAAAGGAAACGTTATTGACAGTAAGCATTGGAAATCCATTTTTTTCAGACCGATCAAGGGATACTAATTAACTTCCATTTGTACCCACAAGATTCCAGAGCTTCTCTTTACTATTCTTACTACTTTGATGAAGATCCTGCACTATATAGGCTCAAAGCATTCCATATATACTGACTCTTCAAAGCCTTCATTCAAAATGGGTTTAATGTGCCTTTTCTGGTGAAAAATCAAGTGAATAAAGGTCTCCTTTATTTTATTTTCCATGAACATTGCCCTTAACATGATTATATTATTACCACTGATTGACTGTGTTCATCTTACTTACTGTACATTGCTCAAAAACTTTTTGGAAAGGCCCAAAACTGAAATTTTATGTTTTTATTAGATTATTAGATGAAGAGACACATGAAAGTGTGTTACGATTTCTCCTCCTATCACTGGTTTCTCATTTTAAACAGTAACCAAGGTGACTGAATGAGCCTAAGACAACGATGATTCACAGTATAACTCTTACCTGCATTGTAACTATAAGATATGAGTGGGAACTCACAAGGACTTGGGGGAAGCATCTCATTTCCCCTTCCCCCACTACTTTCTCTTTCCTGAAAGCCCCACAGCCTCTCCCCTTTTCCTGTCTCCTTTCAGGCCCAGAACTACAAAATTTTCAGTGGAGGGCCACTGAGGAAACTGGTGAGGCATGGTGTCACAAAATTTAAAATTAAAATATAGTGTGTGCACATCTCTGCTGGTTGTTTATCCGAAGGAAGGAGGAGAGGAGGAGGTGGGGAGACTGAAACCAACTGTGTCTCATTTCCTCTCCATCACACGTCGCCATCACACGTGTGTGTGTGTGTGTGTGTGTGAGACAGAGAGAGAGAGAGAGAGAGAGAGAGAGAGAGAGAGAGAGAGAGAGAGAGAGAGAGAGAGCGTGTGTGCACGCGTAGAGAGT